ACATTTTGCTTGTTTGTTCATGCGATGATGATGGACACTTGGGTTGCTTCCCGTTTCTAGCTCTCATAAATACCGTTGCTAATGTGCTAATGAACATGGCTGTACAAAGATTCCTTCAAGATCTTGCTTTCAGTTCTTTTGGGTATATACCCAGAAGTGGAACTGTTGGATCACATGGTAATTTCTATGTTTAATTTTTTGAGGAACCACCATGCTGTTTTCCACACTGGCTGTTCCATTTTTAAATTTAATTAATTTATTTATTTTTGAGACTTGCTGTCACCCGGGCTGGAGTGCAGTGGTGCGATCTTAGCTCACTGCAACCTCCACCACCCAGGTTCAAGCCATTCTCCTGCCTCAGCCACCTGAATAGCTGGGATTACAGGTGTGTGCTACCATGCCTGGCTAATTTTTGTATTTTCAGTAGAGACAGGGTTTCATCATGTTGGTCAGGCTGGTTTTGAGCTCTTGACCTCAAGTGATCCACCTATCTCGGCCTCCCAAAATGCTGGAATTACAGGCATGAGCCACTGCGCCCGGCCTGGCTATTCCATTTTATACTCCAACAGCACACAAGGGTTCCAATTTCTCTACATCCTCACCAAAACTTGTTGTTGTTGTTGTTGTTATTATTATTATTATTATCTGGAGATGGAGTTTCCCTCTGTCACCCAGGCTGGAGGGCAGCAGCACTATCTCTGTTCACTGCAACCTCCACCTCCCAGGTTCAAGCCATTCTCCTGCCTCAGCCTCCTGAGTAGCTGGGACTGCAGGTGTGTGCTGCCACACCTGGCTAATTTTTTGTATTTTTAGTAGAGGCAAGGTTTCACTTTGTTGGCCAGGCTGGTCTTGAACTCCTGACCTCAGGTGATCTGCCCGCCTTGGCCTACCAAAGTACTGGGATTAGAGGCACGAGCCACGGAGGCTGGCCTGCTTTGCAGTTCTCATTGTACAAGTTTTTCACTTTTTGGAGTAATTCCTAAGGATTTTCTTCTTTCTGATGCTATTGTAAATGAAATTGTTTTTATAAGTTTTGTTTCAAATCACTCACTGTTGGCTGGGCGCGGTGGCTCAAGCCTGTAATCCCAGCACTTTGGGAGGCCGAGGCGGGTGGATCACGAGGTCATGAGATCGAGACCATCCTGGTCAAAATGGTGAAACCCCGTCTCTACTAAAGATACAAAAAATTAGCTGGGCATGGTGGCACATGCCTGTAATCCCAGCTACTCAGGAGGCTGAGGCAGGAGAATTGCCTGAACCCAGGAGGCGGAGGTTGCGGTGAGCCGAGATCGCGCCATTGCACTCCAGCCTGGGTAACAAGAGTGAAACTCCGTCTCAAAAAAAAAGAAAAGAAAAGAAAACAAATCACTCAGTGTTAGTTGAGAGAAATGTAACTGATTTTTGTGTGCTGACGTTGATCTTGCTATTTTGCTGAATTCATTTATTAATCCTAACAGTTCTTAGTTTGTGAAATCTTTAGGGTTTCTACATATAAGATCATATCATTGGCCGGGCATGGTGGCTCATGCCTGTAATCCCAGCACTTTGGGAGGCTGAGGCGGGCAGATCATGAGGTCAGCAGTTTGAGACCAGCATGACCAACATGATGAAACCCCGTCTCTACTAAAAATACAAAAATGAGCCGGGTGTGGTGGTGCACACCTGTAATCCCAGCTACTCAAGAGGCTGAAGCAGGAGAATCACTTGAACCTGGGATATAGAGGGTTGTGGTAAGCCGAGATTGCACCACTGCACTCCAGCCTGGGCAACAGAGTAAGTCTCCATCTCAAAAAAAAAAAAAGAAAAATCATATTATTGGAGAGCAGAGATTATTTTACTTCTTCCTTTCAATTTGAATATTTTTGATTTCTTTTTCATTCCTAATTGCTCTGGTTAGAACTACCAGTATTACGTGGACTAGAAGTCAACAGAGTCACTTTGTCACCCAGGCTGGAGTGTAATGGTGCAATCTCAGCTCACTGCAACATCCGCCTCTCTCTCTCTCTCTCTCTCACACACACACACACACACACACACTTTGGTATTTTTTATGGAGTGTAATGATGCAATCTCAGCTCACTGCAACATCCGCCTCCTGGGTTCAAGTGTTCCTCCCACCCAGTCTCCCAAGTAGCTGGGACTATAGGCACCTGCCACCACACCTGGTTAGTTTTTTTTTCTAGAGATGAGGTTTCACCATGTTGCCCAGACTGGTCTCAAACTCCAGGACTCAAGTAATCTGCCCACCTTGGTCTCCAAAAGTGCTGGGATTACAGGCATGTGCCACCATGCCTGGCTGCTTATTTTTCTGTATCTTTTGTAGAGACAAGGTTTCACTATACCAGGCTTGTCTCAAACTCTTGGGCTCAAGTGATTTGCCCCCCTTGGCCTTCCATGGGAATTACTTCCAGGTGAATTTCTAGAATAAGAGAGGTTCAGGGCAATTGTGTGAGGGTTTGGGAAAGCACAGATTTGGAAGGAAGGTCAAGGCAAGGAGGTGGCCTGGGTGTGGTAGCCTCAAGCATAGACTTGGGTTCGAATTCCAGCTTCACTATTTACTAGCTGGGTGAGCCTGGGTGGATTTGGGACTTTCTCTGGGCCTCACTTTCTTCTTCTATAAAATAAGGATCCCAGCTAGGTGCTGTGGCTCATGCCTATAATCCCAGCACGTTGGGAGGCCAAGGTGGGGAGATCACATTAGGTCAGGAGTTCAAGACCAGCCTGACCAACATGGAGAAACCGTCTCCACTAAAAATACAAAATTAGCCAGGTGTGGTGGCACATACCTGTAATCCCAGCTACTTGGGAGGCTGAGGCAGAAGAATTGTTTGAATCCGGGAGGTGGAGGTTGTGGTGAGCTGAGAGCGCACCATTGCACGCTAGCCTGGGCATGAAGAGCGAAACTCCATCTCAAAAAAAAAAAAAAGAAAAAAAGATCCTAAGGCCCGTGTTACAGATGATTGGTGAGGGCTGGGTGAAAGAATTCATTTAATCACTTATTGAAACAACATTGTGCACCTAAGATGTCAGTGACCTAGGTGCCAAGGATACAGCAGGGGATGAGGCCTGGGCCCTGCCCTCCTAGAGTTTACAGTCTAGTGTGGAGAACACAATAACCAATAAGTATGCACATGAGATAATTTCAGGTGTTATTAGTATTATCATTTGAGAGACAGAGTCTGACTGTATTGCTAGGCTGGAGTGTAGTGGCATGATCTTGGCTCACTGCAACCTGCGCCTCCCGGGTTTAAGCAATTCTCCTGCCTCAGTCTCCTGAATAGTAGGGAACACAGGCGCACGCCACCACACCCAGCTATTTTTTTTTTTTTGAGACGGAGTTTCGCTCTTGTTACCCAGGCTGGAGTGCAGTGGCGCCATCTCGGCTCACCGCAACCTTCGCCTCCTGGGTTCAGGCAATTCTCCTGCCTCAGCCTCCCGAGTAGCTGGGACTACAGGCACGCGCCACCATGCCCAGCTAATTTTTTGTATTTTTAGTAGAGACAGGGTTTCACCATGTTGACCAGGGTGGTCTCGATCTCTTGACCTCGTGATCCACCCGCCTCGGCCTCCCAAAGTGCTGGGATTACAGGCTTGAGCCACCGCCTCCAGCTATTTTTTGTATTTTTAATAGAAATGGGTTTTCACCATATTGGCCAGGATGATCTCGATATCCTGACCTTGTGATCTGCCTGCCTCAGCCTCCCAAAGTGCTGGGATAACGCGTGTGCCAATGCGCCCGGCCAATTTTGGGTATTACAGTTATTTATTTGTTTAGAAACAGAGTCTTGCTCTGTCACCCAGGCTGGAGTGCAGTGGCACCATCTCAGCTCACTGCAGCCTTTGTCTCCTGGGTTCCAGCGATTCTCTTGCTTCCGCCCCCCAAGTGGGCTGGGACTACAGGTACATACCACCACACCGACTAATTTTTATATTTTTAGTAGAGATGGGGTTTTGCCACATTGCCCAGGCCAGTCTTTAACTCCTGCCCACTTCGGCCTCCCAAAGTGCTGGGATTACAGGTGTGAGCCACCGTGCCCAGCCTAATTTCAGGTATTGAGGGCACTATAAAGGAAAATAAAGCCGGAGGTGTGTTGGTGTGGGTGGAGGCATTGTTACAAGTGGAGAACGTCAGGAGGGCAGCTCTGAGGAGGCTTCAGCAGAGCCCAGACGAGCCGTGTCCTATGTGCATGTGGAATGCATGTGAAATGCTAGCGGAAGAGTCTCACACATAGGAAAGGGTCAATAAATGGTGGATGATCATCTTATTACACACATGGGGGGAGCGAAAGGAAGGGAGGGATTGGAATCCATTTCCCAGGGTCTGTGGCAGTCACAAAGGGTGACAGAAGGTTCCCTGGGCTGGCAGGTGGAGCAGCAGTGCTGCTCATGGCATGGGACGTGGGAAGCCCTGATCCAGGGGAGATGCAGCTCTGGGTGGTCTTGGGTGAGCCACTGTCTGGGCCTCAGTTTCCTCATTTGGAAAACAGGGTCAATAATGCCCACTTTGTGAAACTGGGGGATGTCACAGGCTGAATGATGACCCCTTCCTAATCATTATGTTGAGATTCTAACCCCTGGTACCTCAGAATGTTACTGTATTTGGAAATAAGGGCTTTAAAGAGGTAATTAAGTGGCCAGGCACAGTGGCTCACGCCTGTAATCCCAGGTCTTTGGGAGGCTGAGGTGGGCAGATTACTTGAGGTTAGTAGAGACCAGCCCGGCCAACACAGTGAAACCCCATCTCTATGAAAAATACAAAAATTAGTTGGGCATAGTGGTGCACACCTATAATTCCAGCTACTGGGGAAGTTGAGGCAGGAGAATTGCTGGAACCTAGGAGGTGGAGGTTGCAGTGAACTGAGATTGTGCCGCTGCTCTCCAGCCTGGGCCACAGAGTGAAGCTTCCTCTCAAAAAAAAAAAAAAAGAAAAGAAAAAGAGGTAATTAAGTAAAAATGAGGTCATTAGGGACCCTAATCCAATATAATTATTGTCTTCACAGGAAGAGGAAATTTGGACACAAATAGAGAAGGTGCGGCCATCTACAAGCTGTGGAGAGCGGCTGCGGGAGAAACCAGCCCCACTGATACAACAATCTCTGTTGTTTAAGCCACGGAGTCTGCAGTACTCTGTTACTGTGAGCCCCGAAAGCTGACATGGGGGTGACATGAGAGTACAGTGGGCACACAGAAGGCCCTCAGTGGAGGCTGGTTTCTTCAGCCCAGTGTCACATGGAGCTCATCCACTGGCTGAGCTGGGGGTCTGATCGTGGCCACTCAACGTCTCTGCAGAGCTCAGGGTCTGCCCTGAGATCCTGCACTTACCACAGAGTGGCCCTGCCTTGGGCCCCCATCTCACTTCACTTCTGCCCTCCTTCCTGGTTCATGACTCGGCCATCCACAAACCTCCCGTGGTAGCACTGTGGCCACTCTGTAAATGACAGCACCGCTGGTGTCTCACTGGGGTCCAGTCTGGAAGAGAGAAACCACTCCAGGCATTTCAACAGAAGGGACGGGATACAGAGCATCACTTCCACAGAGGATGGATGAGCCCAGATGCAGAAAAGCCAAGGTATTGGCCACAGCTGGAGGGGCTCCACCCTAGGCCAGCAGGACAGAAGGAAGCTGCAGGACTGCTGGGTCTCAGAAGCCAGGGCTGGGGCCACAGTGGGGGCTGCCTGGTAGGGAGCTGACCAGGGAGGGAGGGCCAGTCGGGTGGGGCATGGGCTCTTTGCCTCCCGCCCTCTGCAGCTCTGCTCCGGGTATCACAGAGCGGACCCACAGCTGCCGGTCCCAGGCTCTCATCCGATGAGTTCCTATTGGCCAACGGGAGGCCCCAGTGGTGGCTCCTCCATGGTCCAGCGCCCTGACAGGCTCCTAGGCCTCTAGCTTTGCTGAGTGGCGCAGGCCCTGGGCTACTGCAACCTCACCAGCCCCTCTGGCTTAGAAGTGGCAGTGGCTCTCTGCGGCTGCCATGTCTTTCTTGGAGCGTCCTCCCCAACCCGTTCGGCCTCGGCTCCACTGTTGTCACGGAGGCCTGCGGAGGGGAGGGGCAGGTGGACGTGGGGTTCCGGGGGCAGCCCTGGACTCAGACAGGCCTTGTTTTGTCCCAGGAAGAAAATTCTGACGCAGACCACAACGCGGATGGACCTTGAAAACACTGTGCTAAGTGAAAGAAGCCCCACACAGAAGGAAATGTTGTAAGAGGTATGTGGGAGGGCAGATTCAGAGATGGAGAGGAGAACAGAGGTTACCTGGAGAGAGGGGGGAATTGTTTAATGAGGATGAAGTTTATGCTGGGGATGATGGAAAAGTTTTGGATAGGGAGAGGGATGACGAGTATTGTGATTAAAAAATTTTTTTTTTTTTGGTGACAAAATCTTACTGTGTTTGCCCAGGTTGGACTGCAGTGGTACAATCCAAGCTTGCTACAGCTTCGACTTCCGGATTCTAGCAATTCCTTATCCACCTCGGCCTCCCAAGTAGTTGGGACTACAGGTGCGTGCCACCATGCCTGGCTGATTTTTTGGTATTTTTTTGGTAGTGATGGGGGTATAACTGTTACGCAGGCTGGTCTTGAACACCTTGGCTCAAGGAATTCTTGTGCCTTGGCCTCCCAAAATGCTGGGATTTCAGGTGCGAGCCACTGTGCTTGGCATGAATGTATTTAATGTCACTGAATTGTACACTTAATAATGGCAACAATGATAAATATTCTGTTAAATATTTTACCACAATTAAAAAAAACCCCTTGGCCATGCGTGGTGGCTCACGCCTGTAATCCCAGCACTTTGGGAGGCCGAGGCGGGCAGATCACGAGGTCAAGGGATCGAGACCATCCTGGCCAACATAGTGAAACCTCATCTCTACTAAAAATATAAAAATTAGCTGGGCGTGGTGGCACATGCCTGTAATCCCAGCTACTCTGGAGGCTAAGGCAGGAGAATCGCTTGAACCAGGGAGTCGGAGGTTGCAGTGAGCTGAGAACACACCACTGCACACTCTGGCCTGGTGACAGCAAGACTCCATCTCAAAAAAAAAAAAAAAATTACCTGGGCCTTGTGGTGCATGTCTGTAGTTGAGAACCTGGGAGACAGAGGTTGCAGTGAGCTGAGATCACCCCACTGTACTCCAGCCTGGGTGGCAGAGTGTGACTCTGTCTCAAAAAACAAAACCAAAAAAAAAAAAAAAGAATGCTGGGGACACACTGAAAGGACCCAGGAGTCAGCCCAAGGGGTCCATACGGGCCAAAACTGGGTCAATTTGAGCATCAACATAAATACTGGTAGTTATGGATTTATAAATCATGGGATAAAGTAGAATCCTTGAGTCCATACTGATATAAACAAGTACACACATTAATGGAAGTGCGATTTTAAAATATGTCCACAAAGGCCAGGTGTGGTGGCTCACAACTGTAATTGCAGCACTTTGGGAGGCTGAGGCAGGAGGACTGCTTGAGGTCAGGGGTTTGAGACCAGATTGAGCAATATAGAGAGATCCCATGTCTACAAAAAATATAAAAATTAGCCACACATTGTGGTGCACACCTATAGTCCCAGGTACTCAGGAGGCTAAGGTGGAAGGATCACTTGAGCCCAGGAGTTCGAAGCTGCAGTGAGCCATGACGGCACCACTGTACTCCAGCCTGGGCAACAGAGCCAGATCTGGTCTCAAAAAACAAAAAACAAAACAAAACAAAAAAAAGTCTGCAGATTCTTTGACGTTTTTCCTTTCCTTTTTTTTTTTTTTTTTGAGATGGAGTCTCGCTCTGTTGCCCAGGCTGGAGTGTGATGGCATGATCTCAGGTTACTGCAACCTTCAACTCCCAGGCTCTAGCAATTCTCTGCCTCAGCCTCATGAGTAGCTGGGATTACAGGTGCCCACCACCATGCCCGGCTAATTTTTGTATTTTTAGTAGAGACAGGGTTTCACCATCTTGGCCAGGCTGGTCTTGAACTCTTGACCTCATGATCCACCTGCCTCGGCCTCCCAAAGTGCTGGGATTACAGGCATGAATCATGGCACCCAGCCTGACGTTCTTCCTTTCAACAGGTGAGGCGCATTCATTTCCCCTTGTGAAGGGGCTGGGCTTATGACTTGATTCTAAAGAACAGAACGTGGTAGAAGTGATGGTGCGTCTGAAGACGTCACAAAGGCACTTTGCTTTCTCCTTGCTCTCTCTCTGGGGGAAGACAGCTTCCATGTCGCGAGGACCCTCAGCAGCCCTGTGAAGACGTTCACGTAGTGAGTAGCTGAGGCCTCCCGCCAGTAGCCGCAGGAGTGCGCCATCTTGCGGTAGATCCTTCAGCTTAGACCTGCCAATCCAGTAGCCACTAAGCACACGTGGCTTTTGAGCATTTGCAGCGCGGCTGGTCCCAGCTGGAATGTACACACCGGGTTTTAAAGACAGCATAACAAAAAGAATGTCAAGTATCTAATATTTTTGAATATTGATAGCAAGTTGAAGTGGGTTAAATAAAAATGTACTATTAAATGAATTTCCTCACTTTTTCTTTTTAAAATGTGACTACTAGAAAGTTTCATTTTTAATTTTGAGACAGAGTTTCACTCTGTCACCCAGGCGGGCTTGCAGTGTCAGTATTTTCAGCTCACTGCAACCTCTGTCTCCGGGTTCAAGTGATTCTCTTGCCTCAGCCTCCTGAGTAGCTGGGATTACAGGTGCCCATCATCATGCCCGGCTAAATTTTATATTCTTTTTTTTTTTTTTTTTTTGAGACAAAATCTCACTTTGTCACTCAGGCTGGAGTGCAGTGGTGTGATCTCAGCTCACTGCAACCTCTGCCTCCCGGGTTCAAGCAATTCTTCTGCCTCAGCCTCCCAAGTAGCTGGGACTACAGGCGAGTGCCACCACACCCAGCTAATTTTTGTATTTTTAGTAGAGATGGGGTTTTGCCATTTTGGCCAGGCTGGTCTTGAACTCCTGACCTCATGATCCACCCACCTTGACCTCCCAAAGTGTTGGGATTATAGGTGTGAGCTACCGCTCATGGCCAAATTTTATATTTTTAATAGAGACAGGGTTTCACCTTTTTGGCCATGCTGGTTTTGAAGTCTTGACCTCAGGTGATCCATCTGCCTAAGCCTCCCAAAATGCTGGGATTACAGGTGTGAGCCACCACGCCACCCTTACTTTTATTTTTTGAGAGCAGATCTTGCCCTGTTTGTCCAGGCTTAGGTGCAGTGGCACCATCATAGCCTACTGCCACCTTGACCTCTTGGGCCCAAACAATCCTTCCCTCTCAGGCTCCCAAGTAGCTAAGATTACAGGTGCACACCACCATACTTGGTTATTTTTATTTGAAGAGAAGGTGGTCTCATTCGTTGCCCAGGCTGGTCTCAAACTCCTGGGCTCGAATGCTGAGATTGTAGGCATGAGCCACTGTGCCTGGCCAAGAAAAAATTTGTTAAAATCATATTTTTTCCTTTAAAAATAATTTTTTTTTATTTTTAAAGACAAGGTCTTGCTCTGCAGCCCAGGCTGGAGTGCAGTGGTGCAATCATAGCTCACTGGAGCCTTGAACTCCCAGGCTCAAGCAATCCTCCTGCCTCAGCCTCCCAAGTATCTGAGACTACAGGCAAGCACCACTATGTCCAGTTAATTTTTAAAATTGTTTGTAGACATGGGACCTCACTATGTTGCACAGGCTGGTTAGTCTAGAAAATTTTAAATTAAATATGTAACTCACATTTATAGCTCACATTATTGATTGATTGATCGAGACAGAGTCTCACTCTGTTGCCCAGGCTGGAGCACAGTGGTGTGACCTTGGCTCACTGCAACCCTAGCCTTTTTGGTTCAAGCGATTCTGGTGTCTCAGCCTCCTGAGTAACTGCCATTACAGATGTGCACCATCATGTAATTTTTTGTATTTTTAGTAGAGGTGGGGTTTCACCATGTTTGCCAGGCTGGTCTCCAACTCCTGACCTCACGTGATCTGCCCTCGTCTGGCCACTGCATCTGGCATACAGCTCATATTATATTTCTCTTGGACAACACTACTCTAAGCCCAGTTGATCCTTCAGATAGCTGTAGTCCCAGCTGACATCTTTTTCTTTTCTTTTTCTTTTTAGACAGAGTCTTGCTCTGTTGCCCAGGTTGGAGTGTAGTGGTGTGATCTTGGCTCCTTGCAACCTCTGCCTCCTGGGTTCAAGTGATTCCCCTGTCTCAGCCTCCCAAGTAGCTGGGATTTCAGGTGTGCACCACCATGCCCAGTTAATTTTTATATTTTTAGTAGAGATGGGGAGGCAGAAGAATCACTTGAACCCGGGAGGCGGAGGTTGTAGTGAGTTGAGATAGCGCCACTGCACTCCAGCCGGGGCAACAGAGCAAGACTCCATCTCAAGAGGGGAAAAAAAAGAATGTCCTTATTCTTAGAAAATATACCCCAAGGGGCTGGGATTGGTGGGTCATACCTGTAATCCCAGCACTTTGGGAGGCTGAGGTGAGAGGATCACCTGAGATCGGGAGTTCGAGACCAGCCTGACCAACATGGAGAAACCCCATCTCTACTAAAAACACAAACATAAGCTGGGCATGGTGACGCATGCCTGTAATCCCAGCTACTCAGGAGGCTGTGGCAGGACAATCCCTTGAACCTGGGAGGCAGAGATTGTGCCATTGCACTCCAATCTGGACAAGAATAGTGAAACTCTGTCTCAAGAAAAAAGAAAAGAAAAGAAAATCTACCCCAAGGTATTTGGGGATAAAGGTGCATGATGTCTGCAACTTATCCTAGAATGGTTTTAAAAAATTGTAGGCTGGGCATGGTGGCTCATGCCTGTAATCCTAGCAATTTGGGAGGCCTAGGCTGGAGGATGGCTCGAGGCCTAGAGTTCCAGACCAGCCCGGACAACACAGCAAGACCTCATCTCTTAAAAAAACCAACCCAAAACCAAAAAGAAATACCTGTAATCCTAGCACTTTGTGGGGCTATGGCAGGAGGACTGCCTGAGCACAGGAGTTTAAGACCTGGGCAACACAGGGAGATCTCTGTCTCTACAAATAATTAAAAAATTAGCTGGGTGGTGGACTCAGGAGGCTGAGGTGGGAGGATCGCTTGAGTTCAGTAGGTCAGGGTTGCAGTGAGCTGTGATTGTGCCACTGCACTCCAGCCTGCGTGACAGAGACCCCGTCTCAAAAAAACAAACAAAACACCATATGTGTGCATGTGTGTGTGAGCGTGTGCATGTGTGTCTGTGTAGAGAGAGAGAAAGAGAGAGAATGAGAATATGATACATCAAATGTAGTAAAATGAAAACATTTGGGAAATATTTGAAGTATTTGTAACTTTTCTCTAAGTCTGAAAGTATTTCAAAATTAAAAAAAAAAATCATTTAAAAGGTGAATAGGGTTGGGGGTGGTGGTGCACACCTGTAATCCCAGCACTTTGGGAGGTGGAAGCAGGTGGATCACCTGAGGTCAGGAGTTCAAGACCAGCCTGGCCAATGTGGAGAAACCCTGTGTCTACTAAAAATACAAAAATTAGTGGGGTATGGTGATCCCAGCTACTCGGGAGGTTGAGACACGAGAATTGCTTGACCTAGGAGGTGGAGGCTGCAGTGAGCCGAGATTGTGCCATTGCACTCCAGCCTGGGTGACAGAGCAAGACTCTGTCTAAAAAAAAGTGAATAGTAGAAAGGGGTGGTGGAGGATATGGGATACAAAACCCTTGGGCACAGCTGGTGGCAGTGGAGATGGGACAGCCTTTCTGTAGAGCACCTGGTACTCAGTCAAATTAGTCCCCTCATCTTCTACAACCCACTCCCAAGCCAAAGTCCCAAAGACATCCTCGTGCCAGCCCTGGAGGGTGCAAGGGCGGCAGCTCACCTTATCTGTGGGTGGAGGAAGGTGGGGGTCACTTGGGTGTATGCCCCAGGGACTGGGTGGCTGAGACTGGGGCTGCACACAAAAAGGATCATGGATGAGTCACAGCCACAAAACCTTTCACACACGTGTTTATGCCACAAAGTAGCCACAAGTGTTTTGCAGGGACACATTCCAGCAAAAAGACACAAAGTGACAGAATGTCTGCCTTTGAGTGGGGGTGAGAAGAGGTGGATAGCAGGTACCGGAAGAGAAGGGAATAAATACACGAAGAAAAATGATTCCCTTGGGCAGTGCCTGGCACAGCGTGAGTGCCCAGGCAACAGAGGCTCAGCTGCTCATGCTCCAGGCAGCAGGGCTGGGACCAGTGCTGGCTTCCTGGTGAAGGAGGCCACTCTTTCCATTTTTTTTTTTGTTTGTTTGTTTGAGACGGAGTCTCACTCTGTCACCAGGCTGCAGTGTAGTGGCAGGATCTCAGCTCACTGCAACCTCTGCCTTCCAGGTTCAAGCGATTTTTCTGCCTCAGCCTCCTGAGTAGCTGGGACTACAGGCATGTACCACCATGCCCAACTAATTTTTGTATTTTTAGTAGAGACGGTTTCACCATATTGGCCAGGTTGGTCTCGAACCCCTGATCTCGTGATCCACCCACCTTGGCCTCCAAAAGTGCTGGGATTACAGGCGTGAGCCACTAGCCTCACCCTTTCCTCTTGAGGGGCCTGAGTAGTCAGGTCAGCACTCGGTGGGCACCCAGCTGACCAGGGGCCTTCACCTCTGTGGGGGTCACTGGCCCGGCCCTGAGAACTGGATGAAGGCTGGAACAATTCTTCCAGTAATAAAGCAAATGCAACCACGTGCAACCTTTCCCTTCATTTCAGAGACTTCCACAGCGGATGCCTCCCACAGCCTCAGGCTGAGTCCCCAGGTGCTCCGTTGCGGCAATGCTGAACACTTAAGTTGGTTTCCATAGTTTTCATCATTCAAATGTTTAAATGACTAGGCCAGGCATGGTGGCTCAGGTTTGTAATCCCAGCACTTAGGGAGGCTGAGGTGAGAGGATCACTTGAGCCCAGGAGTTTGACACCAGCCTGTGCAACACAGTGAGATCACATTTCTCTAAAAAAAAAAAAAAAAAAATTTAGGCTGGGCATGGTGGCTCAGGCCTGTAATCTGAACACTTTGGGAGGCCGAGGTAGGGGGATCGCTAGAGCCCAGGAGTTGAGACCAGCTCCAGCTTGGAAAACATGGCAAAATCCTGTATCTGCAAAATACACAAAAAAATAGCCAGTTGTGATGGCGTATGCCGGTAGCCCCAGCTACTTGGGAGGCTGAGATGGGAGGATTACTTGAGGCTGTGGTTGCAGTGAGCCGTGACTGTGCCACTCTAGCCTGGGTGACAGAGTGACAAGACCCTGTGTCAAAAACCAAACCAAAACAAAATAACCCTGGCATGGTGACATGTGCCTGGGGTCTCAGCTACTCAGGAGGCAGAGGAGAGAGGATCACCTGAGTTTGAGGGGGTCGAGGCTGCAGTGAGCTGTGATAGTGCAAATGCACTGGAGCCTGGGCTGCAGACAGCCTACCTAAAAACCGCCTAAATAAAGTGTGGTGTGGAGCAGGCTTGAGTTATTTCCATGCTGAGCTCCTCAGGGT